TATTCCAATAGGGAAACTAGGACGTATATTTTTATTTTAGTAACTTTTAAAAGTAAACCACTGAAATAGGCACAAACTGAAACCACCTATCCTGTCTCATGGTCCTGAAATCTACTTTTCTACCTTCCCGTAAAACATTCATTAGCAGTCTGCAGGTCTAGAGCATTTGTTCAGATTTCAAAAATTTCAGTGAAGCTGGCCTTCCAGTTAGGGAAAACGTGAACTGCTGAGCCTCAAAACCTAAATGGCAAATGTAGCAGAATGCCTTATAGACTAAATCCTTCGTTTTGATTTGAGAAAAAACACAAACCAAACCCATCAAACCTCACTAAATGCTTAAATATAATTACTTCTGGAATAGATCAAAATTTTGTAAAATAATTAATTTCCATTTTGATAGATAACAGAGTGTTTCCACTGTGTAAAGCTCCAGAAATTTATCAGCCAGCAGCTGCTTCAGAACTAACGAATCTGGGCTTCTTTCTTAGCACGGGTGATAGACACTCATTTTTTATATCACATATTTTAATTCCTTATGTCAAAGTCCCTGCTTTAATGTGCATTTTGATGCCCCATAAGAAAATGCAAACCATTCCAGCACAAAGCTGAAACTTGTGCTTGCTTCTGTATTGCCACTAAGTACTTCTTGGTGCAAAAGTGAAGGTACAAACTGAGCAAAACATTCGAAGGTACAGCATCCTATTCCTGGCTTTGTTAGTTTAAGGCAGACCTCTATTTTCTCCTTTTAAACTGGGCGTGTATTCCTATATTTTGTGATATTTGCTCCTGCTGCCATTGATGCTGAAAGCTTCACCACTGACATGAATGGAAAGAGGATAAGACTCAGAATGTGCTTATGATATAAACTTGTGATTAACAGTAACAGCTGGTAGGTTGGTTTTTTTTTTTACTCTTAAGCCTCATAAATACAGCTGAAAAAGCATTTATCTGAAAGTGGAAAATGAGGGCTTAGCTAGAGCTGTGCAAACCTTTCATAATGAAACCCAGAACTAGCCTGATTTGGGGGAGTTGCTAGAGTTCTGACATTCAGGCCAGGTTTGCTAACTCCTCAGTGAACGTAGCTGATTTACAGTTTCACATGAAAACCACATACAGCTCCGTAGTAGTTTTGGCTGAACGATGCTTTCAGCTTTTGCTCAAACTTGAAACTTATTGGGTGTGAACCCACAATAACCAAAACTTATAAAAAAGGAAAAAGAAGGAAAAAAAAAAAAAAAAAAAAAAAAGAGACTGGCATGAGCACCACGTGGACAGAAACCACCCAAGACTCTCCGAAACCCAAGTACAGCAAAGCAGTAGCTGGGGGAAGGTGTGCTAGGCATTACAGATGTTGAGATCTTGCAGCTCCACCACCATCTGAAGTAACGGCCAGAGAGGTGTGCAATCAGTGGAGCTCAAGCTAACCGTACCAGGCACCAGCTGATGACTGCAGTTTATCCAAATCATTTCCCAGTGCACTGACATTTCCATTGCCTTTTATAATATGCGCATTGTATAGTAGGTGGTGATTTGGCGGTTTGGGAAGTAGCCAAGGAAGGAGACTCAAAGTATAGTGAACTTTCTTCCAAAATTGATGTTGAAATTTGGCTACCTGAAACACATTACAAGTCATGGTTAAATCAGTAGGGTATTAAAAAGGAAATGACTCTTGAGCAGAGAAGTTTTGCTTTTCCCCTCTCCTGCGTTGTAATCCTCTGACCAGCCCTAAATCGACTACTAAGCTAAAGGAAATTAAAGAAAAGATGAATAAAAAAATCTCAAGCTGGGCCAAATTCATCCCCAGTGTAGCTTAGCTCAAGTAGAGTTAAATCAATGGAGTTCCACCAGGGATGAATTTGGCTTATTGTCAAAAGGAAATGAAGCAACCGTGCCCTCATTTACAGCTATCAACTTAAACAGAAATTTCATTATATGGGAATTTCTGAAAACAATTCCTAGGTAAAAGAAAATTGCTAAGGTTGAACAGCACGTGTGTTTGAAAATTCCCTGAAGTCCACAACTGTCTGCTCAGTCGGTAGATACACTGAACGCTAGATAATTGAGTGCACGCATTGTTTCAAAGGTCTTATAAAATCAGAGAAGCCTATAAAATGAATAAGCAGATTGTCTTCAGAAATCGCCTTCGTTTTCCCTATATTGAACCTTAAATATTCAATTGCAAAAATAGTGTTAATTTAAAAGTAGGAGGGCAATTACAGATAAAAATTATACCAGCAATATCAATCTCAGTTACCTTGGTATTCTTTATCTGATTTTCCCCGTTCAAATGTAAAAGTAATGTAGACTTCCTTAAGCTGCACTCTTCTGCCACTGATTTTCTCCAGAGTATGATCTGAAGAGATCCTGTGAAGCTCCTCTTTACTTCCAAATATAATACTGAATTAAAACTTACATATAATACTGACATTTCCAAACAGATTCCTTTTTATATGTTTTATTATAAAACTATAATACCATAAGGATTTATTTCTATTCTAAGAGGATCTATGGAATTGTGGATGAGAGGTGAGATGATCTGTTTAAAAACTGCTGGATTAAGATATAACTAGGTTAAAAAAACTCTTGACTTCACAGTTTTGATTTTGAATTGGCAGCAAAACTTTCAATCAGAATGCAAAATATTTGCAAGAAATTTTCAGCTTGTGCTGGGAGGATGTTTTGAACACATTTAGGAACTTGCTCTCACAGCCCAAACTTTGCATGTAATGTGATAACACAGAATATATTTTACATTAAAACCTCTGAACACAACTAACCTAGAACTAAACATATTTTCCAAGATGCTGTTCCCTTAAAATGCTGAGGATGCTGAGATGATGATGATATTTTGTGAATGTGCCATGACCACGACTTAGCTTGTCCTTACAAATATCTGCTCCTTGAAGGCTTGTGAAAATCCTGATCTGAAACCTTAATCTAATTGTCAGCAACTCGAAGAAAGGGTCAGCTTTAGGTTGACAACACCACCAAAGGCAAGTCCATCAGAGTCACCTAACCTAAAAGGTAACTTTCAGAAAGATTCAGCTGCTTCAGTACCGTGCACAGAAAATAGATTCATTCAACCAGTTTTGATGAAGTGGGAGTGCTGGGTATATTCTGAACATTCTCACATAACAAACGCCAAAGAAAATACTCTTAAGACTTCTTAAGAACAGGTTATAAGTGACTGGAAAAAGCCATTTTTCTTGGGCCTAACTCTCATATAATCCAAGATCTTGGTCGGTTATTCAGATAATATTATAAGTAAAATGAGCAGTAACTGTAGGTAAGACAACATTCTCTAACCACCTAATACTGCTCGAGCGGCATAAGGAAATCAAAGGCTCTATCAGCTGTTCACAGTCGCAGGCTAGCTCCAAGAAGGTTCCAGACCAGAAGGCATAAGACACCTCGGTCCTTCAAGCCGTTTAGACATGTTTGTGTGTAATGAAGCTCACCTGTCACACAGAGTTGCTGGCATAGGCATGGTCCCACAGTAGCATCTTGAGACGGTCGTTTTCTCACAACCATATCTTGTTTGTTTTGTTTTGTTTTATTCCCATTACTAAGAGTAGAAAGGAATGCAGGGAACAGATTTTAACTAAACAGCAGAAAAAGGCTAGTCAGTGAGATGTAACAGTTACCAGGTGTATCGATAAAAACACTGAAAAAGGAAACTATGCATTTCAATTGTTGTACTACAAGCAGTGAAGCAGAAATTTCTCTTTAAAAACAAAAGGGGAGCACTCGCCTATTTCTTGCCATCACTTGCTTGCAGAGCAATGACACGAGAATTGAAGCAGACAAGGACACAGCTAGAGATCTTTAGGAACAGAGGACAACAGCTAGCAAGCCATGCAAGACCCCGACCACATCACCTGATTCACTGTCAGATTCCCCAGGCTGAACCTGCAATTGGATACTTAGAAATCTAAGTGCAAACATACAGCCTCAATATTGGCTATATGGTTACACCTCTGGAAAGCTGAATTTCATCTCTTTCTTTCACATATGCCAACCATTTAACAAAGCAGAAAGACACATAATTGTACACAGAGTAAAGAGAATAAACTTTCCCAAACTGGGCAAGCAGAGGCTCGTGTGCCAACTATCACACCACATAAAGAAGAAATATGTGGTAAGACTCAGTCTGAGTCAGTATAAAATGGGCTGATTCAGAACCTCACCACAAAGGCTGCATCTAGCAAAGTTCTGCTGGGGGTAAACGTTTCCCAACATACTCATATTGTTGGCAGGAATAAAAAATATTAATATACCCACTGGCAGCAAGTGAACCCTGTAATTTACAGAAAGAATTTTCAAAAGCACATACAGGTTTGTTTCCTTCTTCTGACTTAAATGGGAGCAACATAAGACCAACATACAGTGATTTTTCATTGGCAAAGAAGATGTGAGAATTGAACATCCAGCAATCACATAATGCTCCCCTCAAAGAACCAAATGTACTAAAAAGGGAGCTGCGTACCAGCCTTCCAATACGAGTAACCCTAACTCTCATGGATAACAACATTGACGTCAAAGGGACTCACGGTTTGAGTAAAGCAAACACCAGAATAAGCATTGTGAAACTCAGCCCTAACAAAGGAGAAAAAAGTGGCTTCAGTAGTAACATACTTTCATCAATCCCATAAATCATTTATGCATGCAACACATGCAATTAGAGCCAGTTTGCTCTAAAGTTACGTCTGTGTATCCGTAACAGTAGGATTTTCACTGAAGGTCATTTATCTTTAAAATTTCACTTCAATATTGTCGTTTGGATTTTTTCCTTACTTTTAATTAAAAGGTTAGGAATTAACACTTTCAATACATAAAGTTAGCGATGTATAGCTGCTATAGGCAGCTCCTCGTAAAACCATTTGCCTCCTAGTCTTCATTTGTGAAGATGCGATGTCTGCCAAAAGCCAAAGTACTGGTCATCACGAGACGGAACATAAGACTCAAGTTTGGATGTATTTATTTTTTTAATTTGTAGTATTTGAAGACTACTTATTCAAGCACACCTCGGATGTCAAACCTTGTTAACCATCAAGAAACATGGCTGGCCAAAATTTTTCTTGTGACAACACAAAGAACTAAGAATGCAGTGGTTCCTTGGAAAGATACACATTTTAAAATCCTTACAGCTTTGTAGGCAAGTATTTTATTTTTGATAGCCTGGTTAATCTTGAGAAGGAAAGATGAGCCATGTGTGGAGAAGGGGGAGTAAAGGAGAGAGAGTGGAATCTCTTCTCAGATTACTTTATTGCAAATTTCATCCTAAATGATACTCAGTTCAGTTGAGAAATTCAGGCGCAGTTCCCACTGAGGAACGAGCAAAGTGTAGATAGCAGCCCCGGGTTTGAAAAGTTTGCCATCTCTTAAAACAGAACTTCAGCAGAAGACATCAGAAAATAAAATGCTCCGCATAGTAAAAAAGAATTATGTTAGCATGAACAGTAACAAACGTCCATGCTTGTTTTTAAATAATATCCTAATGCATGCTAGTAAAATAAAATAATTATTCATAGATTATCCTTTTGATTTTCCAGAATCAGTGACACTTAGTGTGAATTCCCTTTGAGCAGGTTTTAATTAGGGCTTTACCATATTTAACTATAGGTATATAACCCCCCAAGTGAAAACAAAAAACAAAATGGAAGAGACTTTGATCACATCTCATTCCAAAAATATTTTTGCCTCCAAAGCTTTCCTGGGAAGAAAACACTCCTGAAAATGATGCAAACGGTTTTGACATTAGGAAAAGTAAACAAACAAAATAAAGATGGAAAAATCATGCGGTCAGTTTGCAAATGCTGTTTATTGTTTGAGGCAGGGTTAAAGCCTTTTATAAAGACAAGAACATATATGCAACCAGACTGAAAGTGACATTAGGTTATTCTAAACACCCCTATTCAGAACCTTGCTGCTTGTAATATGCCATGGCCAAAATGCGCGGAGGCTTCAAACAGACAATATGATATGAACAAACTAGGATTGCTGTTATTTTGGTAACCAAGAGAGACGACAAGTGCCCTAAATATTTCTAATGATATTTTTGATTAAAAGAAGAGGCATGTAGTTTTCCTTTATCTAATATCTTCTAGGACTTCTAACGTGAATTGGCATTTCATTTGTAGCCATGTATGACATTAGCAGAGGAGTTAACAAGTGGCCAAAACACGCTTTCCAGACACCGATTTGTATGGCAGACAGCTCAGAGCTCAATTTGAACGACAGGTGGTGTGAACTGGATCGTTCTACGCTCATCACTGATTTTAAGTATCTGTTAAAGATTTATGATAGACTTTCAGAGCGAGTGAAGGCTTCCATTTACTCAGTAAGGCCTAAAACGTTCAGCAGCAGCAAGCTGCCAGTCTCGTTCTTTTTCGTCAGTCAAACCTGCTTTCACGATGGGCTTCAATATCCAGTTCGCTTCCACCTGCAACACTAGCTGGTAATAGCCCCCCAAAGGTAGGCAACTTCTAAAAACTGACATTTTTTTCAACCAGGAAAGTGAATGAAGAACACCAAGTAATTTCAAACAAGCCAAGAACAGCCGGACAGTGACGACTCTCAACTGGGGCCGCTGTGCATGGGTTTGGAACAGCCCAGAAGTCAGAATTTCCTTGGCCAATCGCACTGTATCTAGTAGCACTTAACAGAATATACGCATGAGGTATTGGGATCTTTTTTGCGTGCTAACAAGTTCACAATTCTAAATATGTCCAACCTGTTTATCAGAAAAGCAGGAAATATGTGCTTTTCCACTGAAAATTTGACAATAGCCTTTCTTACACAGACATCAAAAGAGATTAATCAGAATTCTTCTCTAGAACATATTATTAAAGCTGTTAATTATGTTAATTCCACCAGTTACTTTTATTGACTTTTTTTCCCCCTCTGAATAATCATACCCATCTGGTGGCAATTTTACTTTATATCACTCTTTTTAAGCACTTTTTTCTTTCCAAATTTAAGCATTTAATTCTTAATGTCATCTCTGTACAAGTTAAAAATATCTTGTGCAATAAACCAGGAATAACACACACTGTCAAATCACAACTGAGGGCTTCCTCCAAGTATATACAGTTAAGCTGCGCCACTATTCTACAGCATTAAAAAATGATCACTTTTCTGAAGGTCAGAGTTAGTAAACGTTGAGATGTAATTTAAGAATTAGCAAATTTTGCTTGTCTGCAAAATTGCTTAAGTCCTTTTCCTTTGCATATAAACAACCATACAAATTGCTAGTACTTTGCATGGGCGAAATATTTTCAGGATATATTTTTTTCCCTGTTGAAAGAAAAAAATAATCCATCTAGGCTCATTTGGGGCTGGGGGGGGGACACACACACCAAACCAAAGAAAACACTGTGAAAGGATTTGTGTAAGCATGTATGAGATGATAGAAACACAAGCACTTAATTCACAGGGAAAAAAATAGGAACAGATAAGGGCTTTTTCATCTGAAACTATAGCCTCTCTCTTTTATAAACACTTTGATATCGCCAGCCACTTTTGCTCAACAGGCAAGCTGGAGATAAACGTGCTGCTTTTGCTGAGGCGCCGACCCATGGAGCATGCTCACTGAAGCCCCAGGTGTGACCCCTGCTCTTCCGCGAGCGGCAACCGGACCAGGCAATCCATCACGGTGCTCCTCCTGTCAGGTCGGGTGCTCGGCTGCAGCTGTCTGTCACACTGGTGGATGGGACCTGCTTAAAGGCAATCATGTCAATCTCTATGTGACTACTCAGACTAAGATAGAAGGATGATCTTGACAGGGTTGGCAAAGTCAGCAGAAGGCACTAGAGGACTTTAGTTACATGCTGAAAATTTAGACACAATTTGTGCTTCTTATGGGGTGGGATGGAAGAGGCACGAAACAACGCTGTGTTTTATAGCTGGTCGTCTCGGATGAATCTGTTGCCCTCAGAATGTTTTCCATAGTAGATGTAGCGGCATTTTCCCAAAATGCCTACAATAAAAAGGAAATTAATTACAATTAGGACAGCAGCGGCATAATACGCAAAGAAAGCACATAGCTAGGGAAATTTGAAGGAGGGAAGGGAACAGTTTTCTCTTGTCCTGCAAAAGAAAGTTTGTGCATTTGAAATACTCAGTATTACCATTTCAATCGGCAGTTTTGAATCCACTGGGAAAACATGTGTTCAAATACCTGCACGACCTATCCTGTTAAACATACATCCACAAATGTCTTCAAAAATGGAATGACATAACCCTGAAACATCATACTCTGTATTTTAAATCACAGTACCTCTCTCCTGCTTTTGCAAACCGGAGAGTCTGGGTTGAAGTTACATTTTGTACCCTCTGTAATCTCCCTGCTACATGTTTACAGGGGTTTCCTGATGATTAAAACCAAAAAGAAAAAAGCAGCAAATAGTTACAGTTTAACGCGGATCCAGGAAAAACCTTTCAAACCTTCACAGAGTCATCCTGCAAGCACCTAAAGCCATCCCTGCTTTGCAGTGGCAGAGAACTGAAGTGACCGGTTGAAATCCACGCGGGAAGTCATCGACAGACATGGGCTAGAACTTGGGACTTCTGCACGGTTAGCCCTCCAGACTCCAGTGTTTTTCCCAGACATACGAATAAACATTTAGTAAAAACATTTCCAAAGTAGCTCTCCAAACAACATCCCATGAGCAAGATACAATCATCAATTATGCTACATATCAGTACATAGAGGATGCTTACAAAAATTAGCCAGAACACTGCTTTTGGGAGACAAGGCACGTGATTCGCAGCGGATACTGGCGGCAAGATGCCTGAGGAAGCCTTAACTGCTGTGGGTGAGACACACACACCTGCAGATCTCACTACCTTATTCAAAAGCATCCCCTCTGGTGGTACTAAGTGGTATGTGAAAGCCTAAGTTCACAGTCACATCCCACCTGTGAACGTCCTCAAAGATGCCAAATTTTACTAGCAGAGTTGTTCTTTATGCCCCCAGGCACATATAGTCAAATTAAAGTCATCTCCCATGCACGGAAGGAAGGTGAAAGAGTCTCCTCTACCTTGGGAGTGTCTTAACACAGCAATCACTGAAGTACCCAGCTCACCCCCGTAAGGGCAAACATAACCTAGCCCAAAGGAGACAAACACCGCCTTACATAAAGGGTAGAGACGGGGGAGGAGCAGATCCTCAACTCATTGCCGTTTTAGCTTTCCAGGACTCACGTAGCAAATACTGTGCTCACCTGCAGTATGAATTAAGTATGCAAGCTTTCATATTCTGCATCTATTTTTCCAGTATAATGTGCATCAGATAAGCAACTAAAGCCTTGGAAGGCATGGGCTGTGCAAGATTAATGTTAACCCATGCTCTTCGTTCCTTCTAAGACATCAGGACGGTAACACATTCCTATGGAAAAAAAAAAAAATTGATAGGCCTGTCATTTGTTGTGAAAAACACATTCCTCTTCAGGATAACACAAATGGGGACTATATGGTACAGTGCCTGATCCCTTTCCCCTCCTCCACGGAGCTTTCTTCAATAATTTCAATTTCAGTAACTTCACTAGAGGAGCAGTTTCCACATTCAAGGGATGATATTATCATTCCTAAACAAGCGTCTAATGAAAAGCAAGGTTTTTTTCCCCCTAAACAGATGATATTCCAAGACAAACTGCAGCAGGCATTAGGTTGGTAACAAGGCCATTTAGAGCTCTAAATGTAAAGGATACGAACAGTTTATTAATGGCATTCTTCAGACTCCTTTTTCACTGGCATTGATAAAAGTCTTGTTTGAGGTCTGCCGCATTTCTTAAGGACTGGAAGCAAGACTGTTTATAGAGATGCTGGTGAGAGAGTGCTGTTTGATGAATGCTGGAGACTGTAGCTAGGTGTCAGCGCTTAGAAAATGAGGCAAGGACATGAGGTATTAATATTGTCAATGATCTCTTGACAGGAAAACAGATACTGCATTCACCGTCAGATTTAAATAGACATCAAGTGCATTAATGACAAAAGGGCAGACTTCAAACAAAGGGGGCTGTATGGTGCTGCGCTGAGCCAGTCTCCGAGTTGGCAATAACCTGATCTGAAAAGACACTGTCAGGACTACAGACAGGCCCGGGATTGTGTGCGGTGACAGAAAACAGAGATGCTGACAGAGATACCGGTGCCATATTATGCCAAGTATATTCTAACACTGTCTCCAGCCCTAACTAAATCTGACATCATTTCCTATCGCTTATAGTATCCTCCACTGCTCCGGCAGAATATTTCTCCCCAGACATCATTACAAACTCCGCTGTAGTTTTAAAGTTACTGGCAGGCCTGTGCTGTCGTGGAGGCTAGGTCTAGAGGCCTAAGGATAACCTCAGTCAATCTAAATTTGGAGTTTGCTGGAGAAGTGCTCTCATTTTCACTGATATCTCAGCTACTTGAGGTGATCTGAACGCTAAAGTGTGAGGAGCTGTCACCTTGAATAAAATCCTTAAAGTAAAGACGCTCAGTTCCCGGGATGTTCAGCAAAGATGTCGGACAGTCTGGCAGCAGGAAATGAAATCCAGCTGCTGCTGCTCGCCTGGGGATAAAGGTGCTTGGGCTAGTGACAGTTAAAGTCAGCTGAAATTTTTGAACTCCTGCAGCCTACAATTGTTTAAATTAAGGAAGTGTTGTCTCCGCAGAGATTCCCTACCCAGGCACACAGCTGTGATTCGATTGCCAGGCATATTACACACACCGCTCAGAGAGTCTTGATAAAAGCACGGTTGAAAATCTTGCCATGAGACTTTATTTGTCATGAAGGTTATTTGTAAAACAATAATCTTGCTCATAAATTAAATGCGGTGACTGGGGGGGGTTTTGTTTTGTTTTCCCTCTCCATTTCCCACCTCCCTTTGGCAACCGCAGAAAACTCTGAGTACTACAAAAGGCTTGGGTGCTGCAATGAGAATTTCGATGCTAAGATATGTCACACGTGAATTTAGGAAACCTACTACTGCTTCTCTCCTGCCTATCTGCTGTCGTATTCATTCCTTGCAGTTCAGGCGCAGGAGTACGCGTGTGTTTTTGCACACAGACAAGGGGAGGAATAAAGGGGAAGCAATACATCTGTGGCTGTTGTGGTGTTTTTTAATTAAAATATCCAGCATTGGCCATAATAAGCTAAGTATACCCCCTATACATCAAAACAACACACAGCATCCTGAATGAGGTTTCTGCTCGCGGTTCTTAAGAAATGACAACACAAGGTCTCTTGAGGGATCATCTTCCCCGAATGAGGCTTCTAATTTTTCTTAAGTAGCTGCTTCTACCATCACCACAAGCTGTTAAAACTATAATTATGAAAAAAATGCATTGGGAAGAATAATTTTTAAATTCACTCTTTATCTTTTAAATGTTTTCCCCCTCCGGAATGGATGTTCTAATTATGCTGGGTAAGTAATGGCCTTACAGTTGCTTGCATGTGTTGTCGTATCAGTCTTTCTTCACAAACACATTGTAATGTCAGCAACACCAGCTTTTCCTTAGCTGAGGGAAAACCCAATTATCCAATTAAATAAATAAATACATACATACATACTAAAGCGCATGAAAAATTGTTCAAGTCATGTTCGCTCCTTTTAAATTTGGCACGTGCTGCAGAGAGCTATGGTGCAGTTGGACCTCCATACGCTTTCCTAGAGGAAAAAGTGTTTGCAGATCTTCATAGATTATATGGAAAATGGTAAAAAGAAGTCACAATGGAATGTGCTAGACCTACAGATCATACAGCCCCAGTCACAGGTCAAAATTCAGCTCAGGCCAACGGTGACCTAAGGGAATTGTTGTCTGGTAGCATCTTGTTGCCTTTCTTGGTTTGCTTTTTTTCCTAGATAATAAATGCTCTACATCTATAAAAAAAACCACCTCTCAGCCAGCACAGCTGGTGCAGCTGTTAGCAGCACAGCCTTCTCCAGTAGCATTCCGTTTTCTTTAAAAAGTAATTACTCAAACTAAGTAATCAAGTCAAAACTTTTGCCACCCCCATCAAAATCTATTGCCACATTTGCCCAAGATCCCCCTCAGGCACCCATTTTAACATCAAATGTTTTTAATAAGCCCCTCTGCAAGTGCAAACAGCAAAGTATTCACAATTAAATTTGTTTGTCAAACACATTGGTCTACGGTGTACATCAGGGATTACATTTCAGCATACAGTCCTCCGCCTGTCTTTCACATGGGCTGACCGCAGGTCCTCATACTAGGAGCGGCGGTCAGATAAAGCGTAGCACTCCATACACAGACTCAATATTCTAGCGGAATTCCACTTTGCCTAACTTTAATTTGAGTACAGTACTTAAATCCTCCACTGCCAATTTGTATTTGATCCATATTCATCTCTTTTTCCACAGCCTGCTGTTGTATAGTTTTGCTATGGGCTATTAAACAGCTGCCATGTTCCACCAAGAAGCTGGGTGCATTTCAGTGTGGTTATACTACCAATCTGTAAATTGTTTTGAGACCCTTCAGGATGAAATATCAATACCATTATCATTTTTTTCATAGGCACTTGGGCATTTTCTACAATTAATGAACAGAAGTTACAAAATTCCCTTAAATATTAATATAAACTTCCTTTAAAGGAAAATAATTCCCTACCTACAACATTTAGAGGAGAATAAATACCTATCTACGAACAGTTTCAAGTCTACAATGCTACTGATTTAGGCAAAACACCTCCATCAGTTGAATTAATTTAAAACTCTTAAAAACCTTTTCATCTAATGGATAAGTAAAGCTGGTTTGAAACAAAAAATCCTTTTGTACAGGAGTTGAGTAATTTTTCGTTTTATATTTATCTTCATGGAAATTCTAACAACTTCACCTAGTTGTCTAGTTGACAACTTTTCATTTTCAATTCCACTTTGACTTTCTGTGAGAAATGAAGTATTAGAGATTTTCAAGAAATTAGGAGCCCAATCCTCTCACCTTCAGTAGCACATAGGTATTTTTTTCTGCTAA